AAATGAAGCACTGCAAACACGCTATGATATTTTATTGCACAAATGGCAGTGTTTGCTTTTACCTTAAAGAAACTCTTTGTTAAATGAGAATTTCAGTATAAATGTTTTTCAGGGAGGAAAAATGCATACCTCAGGACATAAGAAAAGTGTTCACTGCAGCCCATTTGTAATAATGTCCTTAGCTATGCTATAGCAGGAGACTTTTGCAACAGTACAATATAGTATCAAAGACACTTAAATAGAAGAAGCAGAAGCTTTCCTCTCCAGATAAGTGTCACTAGAAACAAAATTACTTACAAAAATTGTCTCCTTTTGCCTTTCCTTCTCCTTGCAAGATAAGCCGTAAGAAATTTGTCAACAACATGTATATGAAAACAAATTGAAGGAGTCAGGTACTTATAAGATTATCTTACCTGAAGTGTCCTAGGAAAAACAGTAAAAATTTTCAAAAATACACAAACAGCACTTAAATACACAATTCTCACTGGCAACAGCAAGTCTATGCAAACTGGCCATGTGCTGGTTTATCATCTGAGAAATCTCATTCTAGATTACTAAAATTAAAATTTTAATATCTACTTCACAAGGTTCATTTCTAGTATCTTTTTGTGAACTTGTACCTAGATGAACAGAGTGCCCAAAAAGAACATAAACATGGCAGAATCAAAGTAAGACTTCAATTTTATAACATGTCACATTCCAGGTTGGGTTTCACAGTGTGTTTCTTTCACATTTTATTCATAGAAATAGACATCAGACAAGTAGATGGATTAATCATAGCCTGTGCAAAAGTCCTACTAATTTACCTCATACTTTCTATTTAGAATCTATATTTTTATATAGAACCAGCTTCACTTACGAGGTTTCATGCATTGCTTGAGGTTCTGTTCTACATTTTTCCCATTAATTTTACTTGCATTTCAATAAAAATATGGCTTTATATATGTAGCTGTCTTAAGGAAAATTCCTTTTTGAAGTCACCAGTACATAAGTACAACCCTACATAGGTATTTTTTTTTCTTTTTACAGAACCAGAAGTAAAAAAGTATATATTTAAAGCATACATTTAAAAGTGCTTTGATGAGTCAAGCTTATTCACATTTCATTTCTCTCTTCATAAATGATATGTCAGACTATTTGGAGGTCTTTTTATGCTCTAAACCAGATAGAAGATACTGAAAAAAACCTGTACTCACCAGTGGAGCTTTTCATTTTCAGATCTAATAAAGAAGGGATAGGGAAAGGGGGTGGAAAAAGAAGAATAAATTACTGTAGTTTCATATTCACAACGTAGGCTTCATTTTTATACGTGTGAAATGGTAATTTTATACAGCTATCACTGAGGCAAATTCAAATGCTTCTTGGGGACATAATGCCTACATAAACTAGGCTTAGAAGTAAAATAAAATTGCAACTTCAGGCAATGCCAACTTTGGAATAAACAATTCTGGAGAAGCCACTTCAAGAATTAATCATACATTGATAGGCCACTGCTCAGCCTGAGAAGCACAGTACTCTTTTTCTACATACTTTTTAAGTAAATACTGTACATTTCAGGTAAGGGTAGCGTAATCCAAGTGCTGGTGTCATGTCAGGGGTACAGAGAAAGTAACCCTGACAGCAATTACAGTTAAGATCTTTTGCACCAGTGTAACAGTATAAAAGAGTGAGCAAGCAGAACTTAGTGCAATGCAACTGAAAATTGTGTTTTCACTTTACTCACCATATCACTTTTGCTGTTCACTGGAGCCAACACACTTTAATTATCACAATAGCAAATCATATTATTTTTTCCTGATAATAAAATGGGCTAGTAAAAAAAACTAGTAAATTTTTAATAAAAAGATCCTGTCTCTCTTTTTTTTATTTTTTGTTTATAAATTGAAAACCAAAATATTTTTCAGAAGCTGAGCCATTTTCATTTTTCTTCAACATTATGAGGATATCTTTTTTCAATCACCAGTTGAACTTGGTTTCTAATGGGAAAGGTTTCTTTTTTTCCCTTGCAATTTCTTTTCTTTCCATTGACTAGCAAAACCTCTTACACACCCCTCCTCAGTTTTTCAGTTCTCTGTGTAAATTTTGACACAATCTCCAATACTTTTAAACAACAAAAAAAGCCCAAACCAGAAGAAAATATTAATTCAGTTTCTTCATGCTCTGAGTTCACCCATGAACAGACTGTCATTTATATCTCCAGCTCCATGAATTTGGAAGTGATGGATCATTTTCATGCAGTTCCCCTGTACAGGGGGCACATGCAGCCTTTTGAACAGAATGCTTCTGAGAGCATGACTTTCCCCCATGTAGTCAAATGTCCAATCCATCACTTTTTAGCTGAGAAAAATGACAAGTGACTTCAAAGAGGTACATATAGAATTTCAGACACTTTCAACCAGTGAATTTCCACTGAAAATCAAAACCACCAGGCTAACAGGCTAGCTGGATAAAAGGACCATTCTTAAAATTAAAAAAAAAATAAATTCTATATACACACACATATAGTCCAAGCAGGAGGCAAAGTGGAAGAGAAGCAAACATTTACAATGCTCTCAATTCGTTTTTGGCAACTGCCAATCAGTAGCATATACTTAAAGGCATTGTGAAATGCTGTATTGCTTTTCCAGGAAAAATGGGGAAAATATAAGTGCTATACCTTGAAAAAGATAAAATTAAATGAAATATTGTTATGAGACAGAAGAGTTGTGAAAAGTGAGGGACACATTACTGTGGAGACTCAATACCAGCACCCATGTTCTCTTGAATCCAGGAAAGCACTGCACTGAGGTCTGTGAATATTCCTGGAGATCCTCTGTTGTAGTGTTTCTTCTTCTCATTATTTATCCAGCCACGAGCACATCCCATGCCCCAGGAGATCACACCAGCGAGAGTCCAGGCACCGTGCTTGCGTCGGCACAGAAGAGGGCCTCCTGAGTCTCCCTTTAAAACACAAGCAAAAGCCCACAACCCACAGCTTACAAAAATTGGTGCATACCACTGAGCAAGCCTCACAGAGTATACTGAGCTTTCTTTTGTGCTGTACTAATAAACATGCAACACAGGGAATAGCAATTAAAAAAAAAAAACCAACTGTGAAGAAAGACATCTTTTTTATTGTCTTTAGTCAGTATTGTCAAGACAGGGAGAGAGAGCCTAAGTCCCTACTAATAAACATGCAACACAGAGAATAGCAATTAAAAAAAAAAATCTGTGAAGAAAGACACTTTCTTTTTTATTGTCTTTAGTCAGTATTGTCAAGACAGGGAGAGAGAGCCTAAGTCCTTGATGGGTGCAGACCTGTTGTGTTTTAGCATGTAAAAAGGAGTGAGGAGTTTGGGTTTTTTTACTCCCCTGACAAGGAACAATCACTTAACCTTTACCTCATTTACTTTTCTTCCTGTAATCCAAGGCAAGACTCTCTACTTTCCTCCTTAGGACCTTAGCAACATTAACTAATTAAGCTATCAAGCGTTCAGAAGTTAAAAAGCCCAAAGCATTATAGCATGGGGATACATTGCCAAATTCCTCTCAGGAACATGCCGTACAACTCACACAATAATTAAGATGGAATTATGTAATTAAGTGCATCACCCCATACAGAACCTTTGAAAGAATTCACATATCAAAATAAATACACTCCAAATATTGCATTTTACAGTGTATTTTTTCACTTAGGCACACAGAGCCTTGAGCTTCTGAGAAACATCTGTGAGTGCACAAGGCCCTCTGCTGAGCTGACCTGACAGGCATCTTTTCCTCCATCTGGAAATCCAGCACACATTACAGTGTCACCTTGAATGGGTTTCTTTAAAGTTGATAATGCTCTTGAACATTCCTTACTGTTTAGGATTGGTAGATTGACTTCATATAAGACCTGAGGGAGTAATCCATCTGAAACACAAAAAAGTTCTTCGTAACAAATGCTGAAAGATGAACTTAATGTCACTGGTAATACACCAAAAAAATAAAAAAAAAAGTTGTAAACTTGCTCCAAGCTATCTTATGGTTACATAAACATCTAATTTTGTGTATATAAGCAGTTTTACTTGAATAAACTTCAAAATGTTTCAAAATAGAAACACAGGTGTATATATTGTAGCAATTTATTTTGAGGCAATTCACAGGTAGGCATAGAAGGTAGAAAAGATCTCATTTTGAGATTACAATTCTTATGACAAGTTGATTTTTTTTTTTCTGGTCTATGGCCAATTCAATCAAGCTCTTACCTTCAAAAATAAGACAATGAAAAACCTGAATGTCAAAGAACAACTTGAGTAGCTTACTCTCATTTAAACGGCCCCAACCACAAGCAGTGCAGATATATCCTGCTTCAAACTTTTCCCCTGGGTCAGGAAGACATGCTGGCAAAACTGATGAACCTGCCACACACATACATGAATTTTATTGATAAGTATTTGAAAGAACAACAAGCTTTCTTTCTCAGTTTTTTTTTTTTAAACTAAAGGACCACTCTACCACAACTGAAGATAATCCCACACTCCTGTATGCAGAGAGGGGAAAGAGGACAAATAGCAGAGGGGGTGTAAGCTGGGGAGACAGTACTGTGGTACTCAGTGAGCTCTGGTCTGCCTTTGACTAGGCTTTACTCTTCACCAGGGGCAAAAATCTCCACCTACACCTTAGATAAAAAAAATAAACCTACCTATTTGGCCAGATTTTACTCTCCTGTATACAAAAAGAAATAGGTTTTTTCTTCAAGGGAATATTAAATCCGAAAAAGACCATTTAATTCAACTGATACATTTTTCAGACTTACCTCCAGTATTTTAAATATTTAATTGCAAAACACTGGGGATTTTTAGTGGTATAATCTGACAGCTGGGGAATGGGTTTAAACTGAGTTTTGAGACTTTTCACAGTATCTGGGAGAAACAAAGGTCTTACCTTCCCCCCTGAAAAAGATTACAGATAACTGTGGCCTTACTGAAGTTGAAGGCTCCATCCAGCTTCAGAAGGGCAACGTCATAGTTCATAGGCCTTCTGGAATCAAAGTTGGGATGCTTAAGGACATATTTAACAGGGAGCGTCTGCTCGCCCTTCTCCTTGATCCTCAAATCGTACTCTCCTGCAGTGACAGTCAAGTACTGGAGTACATTGCTGTAGAATAGAAAAATAAGAGTTCAGCTATCAAATCTTCAAACTGAAAGGAAAAAAATGCAGTTGGTTTTAAGCCTAAAAGTTATTACTACTGGTACCTAGTAGCTTTCATCTTCAGATTTTAGAGCATTTAATACATACAGCTGACAGGAGTCTCTGCCCTGAAGTATAAATTGGGAGATGAAAAGGACTGAGAAGAAAGATCATTTAGCTACACTCCTGACCGTGGTTTGGTGGTCCACTAAGGAACCAGGTGCTCTTATTCTGTTTAAAAATGTTCAGTCACACTGCTTTTTGAAGGAGGTGGCAAGATTTGGACATAGGAAAGTACAGAAAAAAGTAAGACTACTTCTCTAGCATTCTCAGTTTATACTGTAGAAACATAGTGAATTCTGGCTCCCAGCACTGGATCAGATGTGCAGCAGGGAAACACAAAAGCAATCATTATAAACTTTTTATTACACCTCAAATTTATTCACCAGATGTGAAGAATTACTTTTGTGGCAGGAGGCTTTACGCTGATTTAGATATTGCCTGTCCTTCTGTAGTTAATTTAACTCTGCAGTTATTGTCTAATTTGACCAAGATGTCATCACATACAATGCCAGATACAGATCAATTTTATAATTCCAGGAGATTCATTAGTACAAAGATTCAGTATTAATTATAAAGGAAGTAGAACCTCAGTGAAACCAACACAGAATAGGATTGAAACCTTCCATACAACATTCACAGACCCTTTTAATTTTTTGGGTTTTTGGTTTTTGTTAGCACTAAAGCTGGATATCATCAGTGTGCAAGAGGTCAGTACTCTACCATTCACCATTTAATCGCATATAATCTGCCTGTTGTTACTGCAAAAAAAACCCCACAAAACTTCTGTCACCTGCTAATTATAGTTAGGTGCAGATTTTTTACCTACATTTACAAAAATCAGTCTCCACCAATCCCTGTGAGATTATTTTATTCTTAATTATTTTTGAGATGTTCAAAGGTTTTGGTTTTTCTCCTCTTCTGTCAAAAACATGGCAAATATTGGTTCCAAATTAAAGGGTAGCATCTGTAAGTAACTGCCACAGGAAGGTGCTATAGCACACACACTTCTATGATCCATGTTTTTCTGCACCTGCAGCCTGCTCCTGAAATATCCCATCCATACCTGTCCAAGAGGCAGTGAGCTGCTGTGACCACCCACTGAGCAGAAACAATGGTGCCTCCACAGAAATGCTGTTGCCTTCGTTTCAAGGAAACCTGCATCACATACAGAAGGTATGTCAAATAAAGAAAATCCGCTCCGATTGCATTTGAGAAAGAAAAGAGAGACTACGTGCAGGCACTGCCTGAAGATCCACACAGCTGTTGTACACTCTGCACTTCAAGCAAACACACTTTCACAGCATTCTTGCAGTCCTTGAGTCTAAGAGATCCTAAACCTTGCTCTTCTTCTCAGCTGTGGCTTGGCACCTGGGTAAAAGCCAAGGCACTTAGGCACTAGGCACGCTGTAAAGGTTACTAGTTACTCCCAAATTTTTCCTTTGCTGGTCACTTGGAGGACTGCAAATTCATGATGCCTGAGAATAGTCAGGGGCTGGAGGTGGTGTCCTTTGGTGCCCGATTTTGTGCAGTTTCACCAATCCCTCTTTAAAATATACTGTTATACAGATGCTCTTTCAGAAATAAGGACAAAAAAAAAGGAGGGGAGAGAGGGGAGAGAGGGGAGAGAGGGGAGAGGGGAGCAAGGTTTATCAGGGAGCAGGACAGGTTCTGTGTCCTCTCTGCCTGCTTCACTGCTTTTCATAAAAGCATTGTGGAGCTCAACAATACACCAGAAGTGTCAGTAAGCACAAAGTATACCCGCTCTCTTCTTTTGTCATTTCTAGGAAAAGTCAGGACTTTGTTCTGAAGATAAAACTACATTTGCTTGTGCAAACCTGCCATGGATGTGAGCCTTTTTTCACCTGGTTTCCCCCAACAATCCGAGTGAACAGGTTAAGGTAACTCCATGGTTTTGCCTCTCGAATTTGCTGCCCGCACTTGGGATCTGAGGAGTAAAAGGGGGAAAAGGAGGAAGGATTTAGTCTGGATTTAAGTTTTTCTACTCTTTTGTAACACGGAATTGGAAGGTCTGGCTTGGCACAGAGGTCTGTGCAGTCTCTCTGCCACAAAAGGAGCCACATTTTATAGTTCCTAATACAAACTACCCAGACTAAAGTTAAATTGGACTAAGAAAAGGGCAATGTAATTTATTTAGCAGCCCTTCTCAAAATAAGCACTTTTTTGCTCAATTGTATCACAGATATTAGATTTTGCCTCCCATGAGCAAAAGTCTGTGTGTGTGTATATATATTAATCTTCCCATTAGATCCATGCTTACTTAAACTTTCTGTCAACATTCTCTTTCAAGTAAGTTTTGGAATTATTTTGGGACCAAAGCACTGTTTCACTATCACTTTCAGAAATCTTTTTACACCCAGCATTTGTACTTAAAATAAAACGGGGTCAAAATGCACAACATACAGAATTTGATGACCAACAGCAGTCTGATCTTGGTCAACATCAGATGTTCTGAATTTCTCCAGAACATCTACTACTGGGCCAAATTTGTTTCTTCTTAATGCATTATTATTATCATCTACTATGGCTAAGTGAAGCTGATAATATTTATGTATTTGTAAAGAAGTATATTTATAGAAAAAATATTTGTGGTGATAACTATTGATTTGGTAGTGTTTTTAGAAAGACAGAAGCAAAGCAACCAATTCTGCCAAGCAGCACATTCTAACAGAGGAATTCTTTGTAGTGCTCTTCCCAAACGCAACAGTGGCCACAACTTTATTTTTTCTTAAAGCTGTATGAAAATTCATTGAAGCCAAACACATCTTCAAGATATTTTACTACAAATTCTGTTAAACACCACATTGAGAAACATTTACCATCCATCCACTTTGTTGTTTTGGCAGGTAGGTGGTTGTATTCGAAGGATGGAGGACCAATACTTACATACACTGTCTGAAAAATGTAGAATCCTCCAAAATATAAAAAACAGAACACCTACAGAAAGGGTTTTGCAATTATCCTCAGGATTAGCATGGGTGATGCAAGTGATTACAGTGTCACAATAATGCTGACACAATGCTACATACTTTTAAATAAAAAAGGCTTTATATAGAAATGATCCAGTTCATTTACCTGATTTTTTTTCATTCTTGCCCAATTAGAATCCTCCAAATTATAAAAAACAGCTTAGAACACCTAGAGAAAGGGTTTTGCAATTATCCTCAGGATTAGCATGGGTGATGCAAGTGATTACAGTGTCATAATAATGCTGACACAATGCTACTTACTTTTAAATAAAAAAGGCTTTATATAGAAATGATCCAGTTCATTTACCTGATTTTTTTTTCATTCTTGCCTAATTATCGCTGCACCCACCTTTTTCCCATGTGCAAAGATACAGTGAGGAAAGGGGAAACAGAGACAAAATTTAAAAAAAAAAACCACAGGATTCAGGGTCTTCCAAGGGGAATTTGGTACCGGGGAAATGGGCAAAAAGAAATTAATTTAAAAAACCAAACAGATTCATAAACTAAATCTTTCCTTTTTTCTTTCAGCATTGAGTAAATCTATTGTCCTAATGTAAGTAAGATTAGTTTAAATTTCAAGTTAATATTTGTATTAATATTATATGTAAACCCAGGAGATTCCTGACTGCTTTACAGGCTGCTTCAGGACCAGTGTCATTCACTGGTCCAGTAAGAGATTTGTATACAAACTGCATCACATCCATTTGCCTGGCAGGATGCTGAAGTAAGAGAACACCATTCTACAGAATACTACACTTTGGACTGCTTAAGTGGCAATTTATTATGATGATTTAGATGCCACTCCTGTTTTGGCAGCCAAAACAGGTTTTTACAACAAAAACAAGCGATTTGCAGAATTTAGGAAATCAAGCTGTAAATTTCCCCTTTTTACTACTGCAAATTTAAAAGGGGAGCAAAACAGTTGTGCAAATAGTCAAGATCTGATTTCCACTGCAGTTCTCTATAAATTAGTAAATCTTCATGAAGGAAAGATGAACAATTGCAATCATTAATTGTATCAAAAAAAAAAGAATACTCTGAATTTTAAGATGTAGGACAATGGAAGAGAGGACTCACTATATTTTGTCTGCAGCCCATGGGTAACATGCCAATCAAAGACCTACATTAACTCACTGCAAATCTGAGAGTATTTAATTTTATTTATTTAATTATAAATAATCTTTATTTAATGTTATTCATTCCGAATCAAGGAATCAGGCAAAAGTTTCATAAGAATTACTCATTAAAAGAGAACTTGCAGTTACAGACTTGGATTGGAACAAATCTAAAGAATGAAAACTAGACCAATTATGCTAATGCTACCTTCTCTCTAGGTTTATGAGCTCTTAGGGTCAAAATCTTAAAGGGTGAAACTAGTGCAGCTTCTTTATTTCGGCACTGACTCCCATGCTTGTCACTAAGAACAAATCTATTGGTACTCAACAAACTGTTAAAGCTAAACATGAAACTTTTTATCCTACCTTTCTGAAGAGCAGATGGTACAGCATGAAACTGGGCAATACAAACTACCCCCGTCAGGAGTAACTGCAGCTTACTGGGGGCAACGTGCATCTTGGGGTGCTGAACAACTGAGTGAAAACAAGGAGAGTATTTATAGGGAAAAGCAGCCCAAATACTATACTGTAGGACAACAGCAACTAATTGAAATAGGAGTTACTCATTAATCCAGACATAAAGCACTTACCTGCACAAATAAGTTTTCCAAATTTAACGGAGCATGATCCTTTTATATGCCATTACTTAAGTCCTTGCTGTAAAATACTGGCTAAAATCCTCCCTAAAACTAATTTTTTCGGGCAAAATGACAAAATGAAGCTACTAGTGCATGCTTTGCTAGAAACACTTACCCAGACTGATCTACACATCAAGTAGGACACCCATGAACAGAATGTCAACTGCTGCTTGCCCTTGCAATTTCTATAGCTCTTGAAGAGGCAATGCTTTATATTTCCTGCACACTTTATATTTAGCCAATTTCACAGACTAGAGAAACATACCAGAAGTTTATAATTTTGTTGGCAGCACGCTCAGTGTCATATGAGACAAAGATAACTCTCTGCATCAACGTGTCATTTTTTCAGAAAGGCAGTGTTTACAGCTCATTTTTAAAAAACAACTAAGGAGGACAGGGCTCAGCTTTTAAAAACGTTTCAGTATTGCTGCCATCAGCAGTGCCAGTTCCGCGTCACTTCTAAAAGCTAAGCTCTACTTCTAATAGTAATTTAAGTGCAAGTCTCTTAGAAGGCTATTCAAAACCTAAATAAGGAACAACAATAAAAGCTAAGCTCTACTTCTAATAGCAATTTAAGTCCAAGTCTCTTAGAAGGCTATTCAAAACTTAAATAAGGAACAACATCAGCAGCTATATTAAGAAATTTCACAAAACGGAAAGCGCATCAGCTCATTTCAGATTTATGACAGAGTGGCAACACTTACTGTGCAGCAGCCAAAGAGGTCAGAAAGAATAAGCAGAGAAGGGCACGTTCTGTACAACCTGCTCCTTGTCTGGGATGGCGAAACAGGCTTTCTTATCCTCCTGTTCTTTGTTCTCCTCCTTTGCTACCTATTTATCTTTCTCCTGAAGCTGTTCTCTTAGCCCTGTGTGCAGCCAGAGGCACTAATGACTTTACCTGCCTCCCCTACTGGAGAGCTGCTAGGGCTCCAAAGACTCACAGCTTTGGCAGGCAGCCCTGCCAGCATCCCTCCTCAAAGAAAGGCAAATGTCAGACCTTACGACTTGATCTCCATCCATGCATGTGCTCCAAATCTCAATGCAGGGCTGGCCTCATGTCCTGTTAGTGTCCTGTACCTTTGCAGTAAGACAAATCAAACCCAGTAAATCAACAAGTGTCCAAAATGACCATGTGACCATGACCATGAAATTTAGGCCTGATTCATATTTCAGCAGGTAAAGCCAGTCCCTAGCCCCAAAATAATGGTGCTAATTGATGCTAGTCAGTCTGGGCTGTCTTCTTTTGCTCTGCATTTAATTTACAAGCATTTTATACCCCAAAGTATGCTTGATGCTGTAGAAATACATATAGTTGCGTCTTCATCTAAGATTACAAAAAAAAAATCAATGCTCACTTACAAATAAGTTTAAGACCAAGATAAAGCAAAGAATATAGATAATATTGAGCATCAGAATCTTACAGAATGGTTGCTCTGTTCTGGTTTTGAGGGGCTTTTAAAGAAGGTCAAGAGCTGGTGGGAGGAAACACAGGCTGCTTTTGAGTGAAGGTTAGTGGACCATCGAGATCAGCAGACTGCAAGAAGTAACAAACACTTTCTGTTCTTGCTAGAAAAGTTGCTTCGTGTTGCTCCTCTTGTCCAAGAAAAGGAAGAAAGGTGGAAAATTTATTCACTGAGTGACAACGTGAAGATTAAGAGAACAAGGAGTGGAGGATAAAGGGTGGGGAGGATAAAACAAGCAGCAAATGCCGGTTAGTAATTAACCTGGTGGAAGATCAGTAGAAAAGACACATTGAAATTGGAGGGTTCTTTGTTGGGTTTGTTTGTGGGTTGGTTTTCATATTTTAAACACAATGAGCTGTGATTTCAAGGGTCACTGATTGCCTCTGAACCGTTTGCAAGGTCACTGCTGGAAAACTGGAAAACCTATTATTGCAACAAAATTTACATTTTCATATTTTACATAAGACATAATGTCTGGAAACATAAACTTCACAGATCTTATCATTCATGTATTACATTTAAGAGTACAGTAGTTCTTAACTGAAAGCAGATTTAGTTTTAATAGGGATTAAATGTATTTATGTTTTGATTTTTCAGCAAACTCATTTTTCCTTTAGTTTTAATAGGGATTAAATGTTTTGATTTTTCAGCAAACTCATTTTTCATCAGTTTTAGCCTACTGTAATTCTAGTGACCCGATTCAAATTATGCTCGAGTTTGATGTAATATGAAAATCAAGTTTAATTCTCCAGATAAATCCATTATTGCCTACCATTTCCCCAAAATGAAAGACATTGAATTAAAGATGCATATAAAAGACCCTGAATAGCACCAGTGCAAAACTTACTTCAATTTTAATGTGCTTAAACCCATTACCACCACTCACCCACTCATTAAGAAAGGTTAAATATTTTTTTTTTCCAGCCAAAGTCTTCATGTTACTTCAAAGATCAACATATTGAAAAGCTGAGGGAATTACCTTCTTGAAATTCTCCATTCCTAGAATCAAAACACTAAATAACTCTTCAACTACTTCAAAGATCAACATACTGAAAAGCTGAGGGAATTACCTTCTTGAAATTCTCCATTCCTAGAATCAAAACACTAAATAACTCTTCAACTCAGAAACATATTTTTCCCTCTCCCTCTCTACAAATACAGTCTCATCTCAGAGCAGAACCATACTCTTCTGCCATGTTACACCTCCAGTTGGGATTCATGTGGTTGGGATTTATGTACTTTTTCAGACCAACAGCGAACACTGATAAATTCGCTTGACCTTCTGCAAAAGACAAACCACAGAATTTCACCTCAACGGTCCCACACGAATCCTAATTAAACTAGTTTTATAATTTAGAATTAAAACTAGGTTTGGGTAAACGTTGCAAACAAGATCTGCAAACTAAAATTTTGCAGAATGCTACCGATTCATTTTCCAGAAAGATTCATACCCATGATTTTTCAGTTTCCCAGACATTTTGGGGGAAGCAGAAGGTTTGCCTGAAAATTAAGCAAATAAATATTTATCAAAAGGTCAGAGACAAAAGTTTTAAGCCAGTATTAATAATAATTAATCTATTAATATAAGCAGTGCTGATGATTGATTGTTACTATATGAAGGACAAACAGTAACTGTTGAAAACGTACAAGGCAAATGCTTCACAAGTGATCCAAAAAGCTGAAGTGTGTTGCTTGTAGGCTCATGACAGCTTTAAACCAACCCAAGTTTAGGCTGCTACCAAGAGGGCAGTTGTGCCCCATCTCCCATGGAAGTGCCTGTTGCTGTCATTCTCCTTGTGCCAGCCTCAGTTCTGGTGAGGCCATGTGGAGAGATGAATAATCTTCTTTTTTATGTAGCTGGATTTGCCTTTAAAGCTGGATTGGCTTCTTGATCAAAGCTGTTACTCAAAAATGGAATGCTAGTACCAACGCGAAGGAGGAGGAATGAATGCATGCACTAGACAGATCGGTCCATTCCTTTAACTTTCAGGCTCCACTTGCAATTTAAAATATCTAAAGCAATCACAAAAGTTGAGCCAGAGTGGGTTTTAGACACAGTATTTTCCTAAAAACAGACCCAGAGTTTTCAAATCTCTTCCAAACTTTGTTACAACCTCCTGTCTGATTTTGGTTAGTAAACACATCTCAGCTAAATGTTCTACAATATTTAAGTATCAACTATCACACTCTGGGATCATGAAGTCCCTTTTCTTAAGGTGTGACGATCCCTGAAAGGGCAAAGTATCTTTATAGACTTTTTAACAGCATAGCAGAAGATGAAAGATACAGTCACCTAGTAACTCCAGAGGTCAAATAGGGAAGTTGCTACCACCCCTGCACAACTGACATCTACTCTGCATCCTCCCAAGTATTAGTCAGCCCAATACTTTGGATTCCTTTGGATGCAGACAACCTTCTAAGACTTTGCTCTTTTAACATTTCCTCCCCCTCTCTCACTATCTTGCCATTACAGCCCTCCACATAACTGAAAGGGCCAGTGTTCTTGCCTCACAGAGAGACATTTAGTTACGTTTTATTGCTTCTAATTAACTAAAGTAAGGACTCGGAGGGAACAGTAAAACAAGAAAGGTTGGCTTCTGATAATGTTTTTACTTCAACTTGCTACATCCTCCCAAATTCTTCAGTTGACCCGTCAGGGCACAGAACAAAGTAAACAATAGCAAGAATGTTCAAAAGAGTACTGGGTGAAACAAGAACCCACAGAACCCCCCCCACCCCAAACACTGTTTCCCAGAACATTCGGTCTTTAATTCAGGTTTTTGGACGTGCATCAAGATCTATTTGAATCTCCTGTGCAAAAAAGGAGCACAACTTTAGAAGAAAACACACTAAGCTCTTTTTCATTATGCAAAGCAAAGTGCAATAATCGCTATACTAGCCGAAAGTAACCGGTAACCAAGAACTAAACCAAACACCACCTTCTGACCTCTTCCCACTTTTCACAACAGCTCCATTTTTCTTGCTTTTAGAGCTCACCAATAGATTACAATTGTAGATACAGGCTCAGTTACTTGCATCTGCAATGAGTAATGCTATGATACCCATTTTCCTGTCGTAGCCAAGTCTTCTCATGGATGGAGGTTTTACCTTTCAAAGTAAACATGATCAAAACCAAACAAGAACAATGCAAACAAATGCCAAAATACTGCAGGCTATGAGAAGTACAATGTGTACATACAGGCCAAAGCTTCCCCTGGATAGAGTCCAGACTTACACCTAGAGCACAACCAATTAATTGAGAAAGGACAAACGAAGGAAGAGAAAAGGAAAAAACCTGTGTTTATCTCAAGTGTTTGGCCTGAATATCTCAAAATGCTTTGCAAGGGAAGATGGATACTAACAGCTAAGGAAAATCTGGCATATGAATTAAACAAATCAGCGACAGTCAGAAGCATGGTTGTCGCCAAGCTTCCAAACATATAGCATCCTCTTAGGAATGGTTTTTTTTTTGCTAATGAAATACATAGTCTGTAGCACAGCAGCAGCTCCTCAATGCAAACATAAATAAAAAAAATAGACGAACACTAAAGCATTAGTTTTATGTAACTGTTCTATTTTATTCTAACCTACTAACAATTGCTGGTTTTGTTCTGCAGGTATCTATACCCTGTATTTAGCACCCTCTCATATCCAGAAGAGCAAAGCCTGAAACGCAATGAACCTGAGCTCACGAGGCATCGTACCACCGAGAAGTTGTTATGAGCACAAAGGGTGTGAGGTCCCGGCTCCCTCACTCACTCTCCAGTGTCACCAGCTGTCTCAGCTGTTCTGCACCCCTTCCTGCACAGACAACAGTTGAGTTCATCCCTCCCCCCCTCCCTCCTTGGTGTCCCTCCCATTACTGTATGCAAAGAAGAGCCCTAAGGATGCCTCATACAGCCAACTGAT